GGTTCAATTTTAATTTTTTAATTTTTGTCTTTTTTGAGACACAGTTTCACTATGCAGTTCAGGCTGGCCTCAAACTTACTTTGTATGCCAGGCTGGCCTTCAACTCACAGCAATCCTCCTGCCTCAGCCTCCTGGGTGCTCAGATTACAGGCATGTACCACGCCCAGCTAAAATTTTTAAAATTTTGAGAATCTCACAGAATTACTAAATTGCCCAGGTGGGACTTGTATAGTACTTTTAATCCTGCCTCAGCGTCCCAGAGTGCTAGGATTACAGGTTTGCACTACCTTACCTGCCTAGGATCGGAGATTTTCCAGCCTGTGCGTGGGATGGTGGAATGACAGTGGGGAGGTGGGGAGAGAGGACCCTGCAGGAAGGAGAATAGTATCCTTCCACGAGTAACAGAGACAGGATGGGTGGTGCGGGGAGAGCAGGGGTTTAGTGGGGTCAGAAACACAGGGACACTTCACCTTCTAGCCCCACTGCCTGGCCCTGCTTACCCCACTCCTTACCCTGCATCCAGGCTTCTTTCTTTTCCTTTGCATGTGCGTATTTATCTTTATCAGTACATATTTGCAGTACATAATGATCATATTCCTTGTGGGGAGTGGAACATGTACATAACACATCTTAATTCTTTTTTTGTTTGTTTTTGTCTTTTTGAGACAGGGTCTCGCTATGCAGTTCAGGCTGGCCTTGAGCTCACTTTGTAGCCCAGGCTGGTCTCAAACTCACAACGATCCTCCTGCCTCAGCCTCCTGAGTGCTGGGATTACAGGCATGCACCACCACGCCGGCATTAATTCTTTTTATATCCTTACCCCCCTTCCTCCCTTTCTTCTCTGTGAACCTAGGGCTACATCTCCAGCCCGTTTTATATTTTGGGACAGGGTCTTGCCAAGTTGCTAAGTTTCCCAAGCTGGACTTGAACGTGAGATCCTCCTCCATCAGCCTCCCAAAGTACAGCAATTATAGGAATGCATCACCACACTGACTCTGAGTCTCAGATTTCTTGTGCCCACTGGTAATTCCTTTCCTTCTCTGGGTCTCTTTCACACCCACTCAGGGAGGGCCCAGATGTGACAGCTTCCAAGGTCCTTGTCATCTAAAGCCTGTGACCTTGGCACCCAAGAGGTCAGGACATAGAAAGAGGGAGAGCGGGAGGGCCGGGCCCTGAGGCTCTGGGCCCAGCTGGACGGGTGGGATCAAGAGAGAGGCTGGGATGCAGACCCAGTGTACCCTCAGGGAGGTCGCTTTCTCTCAGCCTCAGTTTCCCTGTGTGCTCAATGAGGTCCCTGTGAAGGTCCTGGTAGGATAAACATCAGTCTTTTCTCCTGTTGCCGACAGCCAGACCCCAGCCCTGTGCTGCTGGCCAGGGTGCTTCAGGCAATCCGCAGGAAGTCAGATGTCAGCCTGGGCCTCTATCCTTGCTGCTTTGGCTCAGTGAGCCTCACTGGCCCAAGGCAGTGTTTGGGAGGTGTTCTGCACAGGTAGCCGGGGCACTGCCAGCACTGTCAGGAGATGACAAATGGTGAAGAGACCCAGCGTGAGCCAGACATGTTGGCACAGGCCTATAATCCCAGCACTCTGGGAGGCTGAGGCAGGAGGATGGCAAGTTGGAGCGCAGTCTGGGCAACTTAGTGATTCTGAGATCCTATTTTAAGGGACAGGGAGTGCTGAGCGTGTAGCTCAGAAGGTCCTGGGTTCAATCCTTAGTATAAAAAACTGCACCAACCAACGAAACAAGCAAACAAACATAACCCAAAATCAAAGAGCCAGAGCTTAGGGGCACCAGGGCCCTGGGTTGGAATCTCTGGGCTCCCATTTAGTCGGTGTTGCCTGAGATCTCCCTGAGCCTTGGTCTCTTCCTCCGTAAACCAAGGTTGGGTCAACACAAGGACGTGAGGAGTGGTCTCCGCAGCCCCTGATCTGGGATGCAGCACCATGGGACTCTTCTCCCCGCCAGCCAGGAGGGCTGTTGGCAGCAGCCGGACCCCAGGCCGAGCAAGCTCTGCCCGGCGGGGAGGAGGCGGGGAGCGGCTCCAGCGGTGCCCATAGCTCCGCAGCCCTTTGCTCGGCACTTACCTAATCCTGCACGGCTGAAGGGAAAGAACGCGCCCAAGGGAGGCACTATGAGTGCTGGGGCGCCCACCTTCTCTGCTGCTCCCCCTCTCTGCTGGCAGCTTTCCTGGATTAGCTGCTGACGTCAGGAGCTGCCAGCTGGCCCGGCCTGGCACAGCCAAGGGGCGATGTGGGAAGGCCTGTCTGGCAGCGAGCGGGGTGCAGTCAAGGAAGAGGGCATCTGCGCAGCTTTGGAAATTCGTCCTCCAGGGAGCTGGGGTGGCTGGGGGCTAGGAGTTAATGAGCTGCACCATGTCAGGCGCGCGTTTCTATGTGTGCAGCTCCTCTCTGCTGTAGAGGGAAGCAGCTCAGAGGAGGAACACGCCCCAGGCCATGCTGCCTTCACCCTAGAGACACTCCCGAAGCTGCTAGCCTGGGGGTGACACCTCAGCATAGGATGGTACCTTCTACAGCAGTGCCACCATGCCAGCCCCCACAGGCTAGTGTCCACCCCATGCGGGGTGATCCTTGAGACAGCCTGAGGAGACCAGGGTCCCATTCAGCAAATAAAAATCAAAGTGCGAAGCAGGGAATGGACTTGCCCAAGACCTCGCCCCAACTTGGTGATGGAGGTGTGTCTGAAGGCAGGACTGTGTGACTTGAAGCCAGAGCTCCTTAGCGCTTTGACTTGCTTCATGCCACGGTGGGCCCTGTGCCTCCCACGGCTGCACAGATCTCTGCTTGGGGTGACAGTGACATCGTTGTCTGCAGGGTGGAAAATGCAGTGAGCTGAACAGGCCCCGGCTGGGTGGGGCAGACCTCCGGGAAGGAAGAGCTAGCCAGGCCCTGTGGGTCTCCTGCTCACCTCTTCACCCCCACTGCACAGGGCTGGGGTCAAATGGACCCAGGGACGGATGGGCGTGGGCAAGGCCTTCGGCTAAAGATCTGACTCCTGCTTTGTCTCACCTGGCTTCTTGGAGTCCTGTTCCCAACCTCAGGCTCAAGAGGCTAGGGGAGTCGGGTTCCAGCAGCCTGGGTCCTCCCACCACTGCTCTCCTTGTGCTTTATCCCTCTGGCATGCTGTACAGACACTGAGGCATCTGGACCAGGGCAGAAACTGCCTGTAGTAGGCAGCTTCTCTGAGGACAAGTCACACCCATTCGTCCTCCCGGTTTCAGCTCCAGGGAAACCCAGAAGTCTTCCCTGGCCCCACCCACACATTCCCCGCTTTCTCATATCACTTAACACAACCCATTTCTCCCCCAGTCCTTTTGTAATTTTCTACTTTGAGACAAGGTCATGCTAAATTATTATTATTTTGTCTTTTTGAGACAGGGTCTCACTATGCAGTTCAGGCTGGACTTGAGCTCACTTTGTAGCTCAGGCTGGTTTTGAACTCACAGCAACCCTCCTGCCTCAGCCTCCCAAGTGCTGGGATTACAGGCATGCACCACCATGCCTGGTCATGCTAAATTACTAAACTGGACAGGCTGGGCTCAAACTTGTGCTTCTCACCACAGCCTTCCAAGCGCTGGGATCATAGGCATGTGCCACCATGCCTGGCCTCACTTTTTACTTTTGTCCACCAAATGTTTGCTTTTCCTAAGACACTGAGGGTAGGAGCCAGGGATGACACAAGACAGGCATGTAGTGAGTATCTGCTGAATAAAATGTCTTTTTTGGTGGTGCCAAGGGTTGAACCCAGGGCACTGAGCACAGCAGGTAACTGCTCTAGCACCAAGCTGTGTCTTCATGAAGCCCCATGTGTAGAATGTGACTGCAGCCTCCCCGGGGCTGAGGGCTGGGGTGTAGCTGCTGGTGCTTGCAGGGCCGGGAGCCAGACTGTTGAGGACCGGCCGAGGCCAGGACAGTGATGGCCCCAAGGCGGTGCGCAGCTGGCCAGCAGGCTGTGGCAGGGCCCCGAAGCTGCGGTGGGGATACTGTTTGGGGGTCACCCTACCCAGTCTGGGTTTGCATCCTAGCCCCCTGCTGTGATGTGACGCACATTACTTTGACTTTCCGAGCCTCAATGTTTGGTCTGCAACGAGGCTATTTTTTAAAGTCTATCTTGTAAGACATGATGCCATATACCTGTAATTCCATATACTCAGGGGGCTGAGGCAGTACGCTCACAAGTTTGAGGCCAGCCTGGGCAAATCAGGGAGACCCTGTCTCAAAAAATAGAGGGCAGGGGATGTAGCTCAGTGGTAGTGCACCCTGGGTTCAAATCCCAGTACGGCAATGAATGAATACAATAAAGACTCCCTCTTCCTACCCTGTTCCCAAACTCAGATTGCATTTTATCTTCATAAAATTAGAAATGGCTCCTGGTCTCTCCAACCACAGGGAACCTGGGTCCCACCGTGCGAGGCCCAAGGCCAGGAAGCGGTGGTCCCCCCTGTGAAGGGCAGGCTGACGAAGTCAGTGGGACGGGGGACCTGGGGCGCAGTGCTCAGGGAGGGCACTGGGAGTCACTGCAGGTACTGCCCGGGATTCGTTACAGGACCCCCGTGGATGGAGCCCTGAACGCTCCTGGGGAGCTCAGGCCAGCCTGAGCAGGGACCCAGGGACCGTCCCACTCCGTCGGCAGCGACAGTGCCGGTGCCCCGAACCAGCTGCATCCGTCTGTGTTGGACCGTGACTGTCTCGTGACCACAGACAAAATGTGGCCGGGGGAGGAAGGACTTTGCATGTTGTCAAGTGCTTGGGAAACACCTTTCCAGGCAGCCCCCGCCGGCTCGCTGGGCGGCACTTTCACCTGTCCAGACTGCTTCTGTCTAGCACATGAAGCACTTCCAACAGATGAAGCAGCTCAGAGGCGGTGCCTGGGCGCGATTCTAACGGGACAGAAGTTTTCAGGCTGGACTCTCAGGCTCCTAGGCCAACACACATACAGAGGAATCCCAGGGAGAGGGCAGAGAATGACAGACAGCTGCAAAATTCTCATCTCAAAATATTTAATTTTGAAAAGGATACATTCCCGGCTTCCCTCCCCACCACATCACTCCGGCCCACCAGCAGTGACACACTCACACGCGCACGCACACACACACGCACGCACGCACATAAGGCCAATGGGCTGAGTCTGCTTGTGCCCTCTCCAACTGAGAAGGGATCTTCTCCTTCCTCCTTCCCCCAACATGCATGGCACAGGGGAGGGGCCCGCTGGGGTGCCAGCTCCCAGGGGAGGACGCAGAGCCCCATACACTCTTGTCACATGCACTTAGAAAAATAAAACCAAGTGGTGTTCTGGCATCCCCAACACCAAAAGATAGCAATCTCCACCTGGAGTCATCTTCACCATTTTCTAGAAAAATTTATTGCACTTATGAACAGATGTTAAAGGAGCTAGGGTGGAGCTTTGCCATGAAAACGGGAAGCTCCGTGGCCCTGTGTGTCAGGGGCTGCGTGGAGAGCCGCCCAGCTGGCACAGAGGAGCCTGCCCATGCCTGCCACCCACCTGCCACCCTTCCCCGGCCTCGCGAGTCAGGTGGCAGAGCTCTTCCTTTGGCCAGGGCAGGATTACCCTGGTCCTCTGCAGGCTGCTGGCTCTCTAGACATGATGATTTCTGTATCTCGATAGACATTTCTTGTATGTACATTCTTGCAATGCTTCAGCTCATTCATGATTTGTCTGTTTCAAGGCTGCAACAAGGCTGCCACAAAACTGCACACGGACAAGGTGTGGACAGCTCTCCCCGGCCCCAGGCCAGCCCACCGAGGGCTGGTGTGAGCAGCTTCTCCATACCCGCGTGCTTTAGAAGATGTCAAAGACCTGTACACAGGAGCCTCTGTCTTTGGCTGTCAGCCCTGTCCCCAGGACACTGAGCAGACACCAAGTCTTTCGCAAGGCCTAGCTCAGGGGAAGGGACCCAGAATGTCAACCTGTGGTCACGCTCCTTCCTGTCCCTGCCAGGCTACTGACTCTGGGGACTCTCTGGGGAGCCCAGCAGCTACGCTCTTTCCAAGCAAACACTTTGGGAAGGAACCAGACCCCGTGCTCCCGGGAGGAGGTGGGGAGCCGCACAGGCAGAGGCGGCAAGCCCCCGTCCCACTCACTGGGGCTGGAACAGAGTAGGTGTCCATCCTTAAAAAACGTAAAACTGGAAAAACACAAACATTTTCGAGCCAAAAAAATAAAGAGCTTTCCAGCTCAAGGCTTGTCCACCAATAACAGAATGAGAACTCCCTCTGGGTGAGCGGCCAGGCCAGAGGATGAACGCCGGGCGGGCGTGCGAGTGGCCCGGGCAGGACACTGACATGCTGGATGCAATGGCCCCGTGTCGTCACCACAGAGTGGAAAGTGTGCACATGGTTTCTAGAGAACCAGGAAGTAAAAGTCAGGTGCCTAATAGGAGAGGGAGGCCTCCCTTAGCCTCAGGGACCCTCGTCAAGGCCCCCAAGAGGTGAGTGTGCAGGTCCCAGGGGCCATGGCTCCCCGGGGTGCAGTCCAGGGCTAGAGACACTGCCTCTAATCTTAACATCTGTTAGGAGTCTTCAGATTTGGGCCCCCGGGCTCTGAGCCACCACCTTAAATAAAGCCAGTGTTAAGTATGACAAAGCGCACCTGTCACCACCTCTGTCTCCGCTTCACACAGGCTGCCCGCCCTGAGCAAATAACGCAGCTATCACGAGTGCCCCAGCTAACCCAAAAGAGCACAGGGTTCCACGACTCCTGAAGTCACTGAAGTCACTGTCTGGGCAGAGCAGAAAGATGATCCAGCTGCACAGAGAGGGTAGCCATGGGGTGGAGAAGTCTTAGATCCATATCTCAGTCCGCACATGGCCAGGTCCGAGTGGATGGCCCCCGACTCCAGGCCAAGGCTGAGGGGAGTCCAGCCTGTGAGGATGTCCCAGAACCTGCTCCTCCACGAGAGCTGCACAATCACCTCAGCGGCTCCACCCCAGGGGTCCTGTCCTGCAGACACCTCTGGGTGTCAGACAGGAGGAATCTGATCAAGAACAAGGGGGAACCTCTTCTGCTCTCTGGGAGGGTGGACTCTGGCCTGGGCCACACTGGTGAGCAGAGCAAGAAAACAACGGAGCTTCTCAAGAAACAGGCCCCATGCTCATGCCCACACCGGAGGAGGCCGTGGCGGCCAGTTTTCTAAACACCATGTGGAAGCTGCACGCTGAGTTCAGGAAATTAAAGCTTCCCAGTGAGGAAGGTTTTCCTTTTAAATCCAAGATCAGAGAATGGTTATTGGGTGAAAGGAAATGGCAGCCTAGAGGCCACTGTAATGGGACAACAGAGATTCAGGTGGCCTTCAGGATGGGCCGAGAGAGGAGACACAAAGGCCTCCCTCTGCATAGGCCGACAGGCCCAGGAACCAGCACCCTGGGAGTGGCCCTCTACAGCAGGCAAGATGGAGCCCATCCCTAGGCCTCCTCCCTGGCTTCCCAACCACAGGTCAGGCACACGACAGAGCGGGTGCAGGGGTGAGAACCGTGTGGCGATTTCTGCTGTAGGCTCAGACCCCGACCCCACTCTGGGTCATGCAGAGGCCCTGCCCCGGGCCTGCTGCCCTGCTCTGCACGTACTTAACAGTGGGGCTGGTGTGTCTTCCAAGGAGATGGAAATGACATTTCTCTCAGACTTTCCGAGGAGGGGGAGGTGTGACAGACACACCCCAAGTGGAAATGCACCTGCTACCTGAGAAGACATAAGGGGGACGATGATCACAACTCGTTCTGCAGAGATGGCCTCGGCAGCCTGGGCTGGAGACCGTGGGGAGTCAGGGACGCCTGAGCGTCCCGTGAAGGAGAGACGTGCGCTCCAGAGGTCCCTTCTGACGCAGCCAGGACATCCAGGAACAGAAACTTGGGGTGTCCCCCTCTGTGTAGATTCTCTCGTGTTCCCTGGCAGGGGAGGCTGCCCCCAGGAAGTCGCCTTGTGCGCTGGCCAGGTTATAATGAAGCTGGGACATGAACACACCTGGAGCACGGGCGCCGCCGGCACCCACGACGAGTCCTAAGTCTCCACGCATGTGTGGGGTTCTGGGAGCCCCCAGGCAGAGGTCTGAGGGGCAGGGAGCGCCCCGCCTGGGCAGGGGCACGGGTTACAAGGGCCCATACTTGGTCTCATACTTGGACACGATGGTCTTGCACTTGCCCACTTCCTTGCGCAGCTCGGCCACTTCCGTCCTCAGGGCCGTGTTCTCCTTCTCCAGGAAGGCTGCCCGGATGGTGATCTGGTTCTCCTTCAGGCGCCGGGCATCCCGTGACCGCTTCGCTGCCACGTTGTTCTTCTTGCGTCTTGTCCAGTACTTTTCATCCTGTGGGGAAGTGCTCTCTGTGGGTGTCAGCTTCCCCATGGGGGCCTCCAAGCCTCCCCCTCTTCTGCCACCCAGGCTCCCCTCAGAATGCACTGGTGTGACCAGAGCTAAAGCTGGCGCTCTCGGGAAGGCCCCGCCCCACCCTCTGAAGGCACGATGGGAAGCAAAGTCCTCCAGCAAGCTGCACAGAGGAGGGAAGGGATCTGTTTCCCAGAAGCCTGCTCTGCGCCGTTTGGGTGCCTGGGCTGCAGTAACGGCCTGCAACCTGGCTTCAGTCCCTGAGTGAAAATCTCAGCTCTGCAAGATTGTTAGCAGTAGACCACAAATCTCTTAACCTCTCAGTGTCTCAGGTCCCTCTACTTCATACTGGGGAGAATAACAGGTACTATGCCATTGAGTTGTTTGAGGGTTAAACACATTAATACACATACCATGTCTAGCCTACAGCAAGTGCTGTATAAATGTTTACTGCAGCAGCAGCATCACTGGTGTCTTAGAAAGCTCCTGGAGAGGCAGGTACATTATGCCCACTTCACAGGTGGAGCACCTTCTACATCCTAGAAGGTAAAGTGGGGCCTGCACCCACTCCAAAGCTTGCATGCAAAGTACTTCCTGTAGGTCTCCCAGAGCAGAGAATGGAAAAACTGCAAAGTTCTCTCTTTCCACTAGTTCCTAGAAAACCATCAGCTTGAGAGCTGCTTGCTCATCTCTGGGGACGGGAACATACAAGCCTGTCCTTCAGAACAGGGACTTGTTCAGCCCTAGTTCCTGTGTCCTAGCAGTTCTTGCCCAATGGCTGGACTAAAGCCAGAGAAGAGGAACAGCAACATGGCTAGAGTGTCCAGAAAGGAGAGAGAAACTATAGGAGGCCCTGGGATCAAATGTCATGTAACTGCCGTTATTTCTAACAAGCTGCTGTAGGATGTAGCTCTATGCACTGCATTTGTCTTTCTACATGGTGTCCACAAAGAAGAAGGGTTCTCCAGATAAATCATGAGTGAGGAGGCACAGTCCCCAGACTTTTTCTGAGGTACTGGGGATAGAACCCAGGCCTACCACATGACAGGCAAATGTTCCACAACTGAGCGACATTCCCAGTCCAGCGCCTAGACTTTTGAGCCACTGTCATACCTTACCGATAAAAGGATACCAGGTTACCTTTTGCTCATCAGGGACAAAGACCTTCTTGGCCTTTTTGATCATGGGCTGGGGCTTCAGGTCCTCCTCTGCAAACTTGTGCTTCCGAGGGTTGAAGAGCTCCCCACCTGGCACACTGGATAGGACCAGGTCGGCAGGGTCAGGGTTGAAGTTCACATCCACTTCTACACAGTTGGGGTCGATGGGACTGGGAGTTTCCCTCTCCTTTTCTAGGGAGGATTCTGAAAGACACAGGGACAGGTGGAAGCACCTCAGTGGACAGAGAAGATCCATGTCACTCACTCAGACACCTGTTTGAATCTCAAGGCTGTACAACCACTGCCACTAAGTGGAAGAAAACCACGACAGCACCAGCTCTGGGCCACAGGGGCACACATGAATCAATTCAACAACAAAACATGAAAAGAAAAGAACTCTTTTCTTTTTTTGGTGGTGACGCTGGGGATTGAACCCAGGGCCCCGGTGATGCTGAGCGTGCACTCTACCACCGAGCTACACCCCTAGTCAAAGAATTCCTCCCTTTAGGAACAGAATGCTTCAAAGGAAACTGAGGCTCTAAAAACAGACAGGATTTTCCAACTCCCTCACCCCCAAATGTTAAGCAAAATGTTAAATCACTGTAGCTCCTTAACTTCCTGTGTCTCAAGTTCTCCAGTAATGAGAAACAGCTGGGTCTCTCCATGAACTACAACAAAATAGGGACACAGATGGAGGAGCTGACACGGGTTCCACTTCTGAGTCCCTGAGGCACGTCAGCTGCTGTGCTCATTTAGTTTTATCGCACTCTGAAAGGAAGACCAGTATTAACTCCATTTTACAGATGAGGACAGTAACGATCAGAGAAATGTGACAGTTTTTCCAGGGTCACACAGATAAGTGACTGAACATGTGGTACTAGGGATTGAAGCCAGGACCTCTGCACTGAGCTACACTTCCAGCCCTTTTTAAATTTTGTGACAGGGTCTCATAAGGTCACTAAGTTGCTCAGGCTGGGTTTGAACTTGCCATCTTTCTGCCTCGGCTTCCCTGAGTGTTGGGATTATAGATGTGCACCATCACACCCAGCCCTAAATTTGAATCTTACTCTAGCAGATTCCAGTTTCTCATTCTTCTCTGCCCTATCTGGCTGCTGCTTTATAGTGAACATTGGATTAAAGCCAATTTCAAGAGTTCAAAGGTTGTGTATTATTAGAGATAAACGTTATATTTACAAAAAACACCCACACTAAACCTCTGACCTACTTGTTCAATGCTTCTAACAGGAGTGAAGAAAATATTCAGCCAAAAGATATTTACTAAATGCCAACTATATGCCTAGTATAGTCTAGTCAGACAAAAGAATATAACAGACAGGAAAAAAAGTCTCTGCTTTCATGGAATGTTATTCCAGAGGTGACAGCTGACATTACACACATAAACTCCTGTTTAACCTCTAACAATGTTAGACGCCTATATAGATACGTGGGAGAACACTTCAAAAGCATGAACATCAATCAAGTGCAAAGACCCTGAGGTAGGTGCCTAGCTGGCATGTTCAAACAACAGCCAGGAGGCCAATGTGGCTGGAGTGAACGAATGAGAGGGAAAAGAACAGGACGGGTCTGGAGCGGAAGATGCTGGTCCTCTAATCCCAATCAAGCTGTGTTCTCCATGCGGGGAGATTCTGCTCTACAAGAGATGGCCCAGGACCGGAGGGGGATGATGGCATCTAGTAGGCAGCAGCCAAAGAGGTTGCTACATGCCCTATAATGCAAAAGATATCAAAATTAAAAGTAAAGCCTTGCTGGTGCCAACCAAAATTATCTGGTGTGAATGTCCCTAGATTTTAACTTTTCTTACATTATTATTATTATTACTATTTTGGGTAAAACTGTATTAGGAATTGAACTCAGGGCCTTCCCACTGAGCTCTATCCCCAGCCTTCTTTTGTTTTTTAAAATTTTGATTCAGGGTCTTGTTAAGTTGTTAAAGGTTACCCAGGCTGGGCTTAAACTTTTGATCATTCTGCCTCAGCCTCCCAGAGTGCTGTGATCACAGGTATGCACCACGTGCCAACTTCAACTATTCTCTTGAGAGGCGAAGTCACTGGATGGTTCTGAGCAGAGACCTGACAGGGTCAGCCCTGGGTTTTACGTGGATCACACACTTAGATCCTGTTAGAGGAAGTACAAAGAGGTCTGAGTCAGAGGCGTGAGGGAGCAGGGACCTGCAAGCTTCTTGCAGGCAGACAAGGGCCTGCCAAACCCCACAGGCACAGGATAAAGAGCCGAGGTAACTACCACACAAAAACGCATTCAAACTGACCCCGTGTGTGGATACCCTTCGGCAGCAACCGAACACTGAGGTGCAGTTAAGCTTCAGCGAGCGACTGGACAAGAGAGAGGCCCCAGAAACAAATGGAAACAGTTCCTAATAGTGCATGAAACAGAGGCTCAGGGACAAGGGTTCTGAGCAATTCCCCTTCCCGGAGGACAGCCCTGTCAAAAAGTCTACCAACTAATCATAAGACTTTAATTTTTTTAAATTTTTTTTAAATTTTTTTATTTTTTGGTCCTGGGAATCAAACTGAGGACCTTGCGCTTGCCAAACAGGCGCTTATGCCACTGAGCTACATCCCTGGACCAACCTCAAGACTGTAAATGACTCTGGTGGAGAAAAAGAGGTTAGCAACAAGTCTGTTGATAATGTATGGAGACCCAACCATTACAAAAGATGTCAAAGTTGATATCGAAGGCTGGTGGATGGCACCATTCTGAACACTACTTGGCCATAATCTGCAAAAGATGCATATAAATGTCCAGTGACCCAGCCAGCTTGTTCCTAAGTAAATGCCCAAGGGAAACGGATTCATGTATTCACCAGGAGACACACACATGAAGGTTCATGGCAGCACTCTTCATAACCCAAATTAGAAACACCCAAGTGCCCTTCAACAGTAGAATGGATAAACCATGTCATGTTCATACAACGGAATATTATTCAGCAATGAAAACCAACAAACTAGCAACATAATGGATAACTTTCACAAAGTAGACTGAAAGAAGCCAGGCACAAAAAAAATACATACTACTCATATCTTTTCTTCAAACAACCTGAAAAAAATAAGAGGAGGACTGTACACAGAGTCTTGAGATACTTCTCCAGCTGTTTTTATTTTGAGACAGGGTCTCACAAAGTTGCCTAGGCTGGCCACGAGCTTACAATCCTCCTGAGTATCTGGAATTACTTTTTTTATTTTTATTTTTTTATTTTTTTAGTCTTTTTGAGATAGGCTCTCGATATGCAGATCAGGGTGGCCTTGAGCTCACTTTGTAGCCCAGGCTGGTCTTGAACTCGCAACGATCCTCCTGCTTCAGCCTCCCGAGTGCTGGGATTACATGCATGCACCACCATGCCCGGCTGGAATTACTGGCATGAGCTACCACACCCAACCCTACTTTTATTTCAATCATGTATACAATTCATGAATCTAAATCTCAAAATCTACACTGTGATTTTTTTGGTCAAAAGAGCATTCCATAAGTATATTCTGGAAAACGATTTTGTTAATGTGAAGATATTCTGATGTGCACATTATTTATATGTACATTACACAGTTAGCTATAGAAACTACAAATGTAAGACAATATAATTGTAGTTAACTTTATTTACGGTGCTGAGGCTCAAACACAGGGCTTTGTACATGCTAGGCAAGTACTATACCTCAAGCTGTACTTACAGCCCAACTTATGATATTTAAAAACAACAACAAAAATACATAATATACAATTCCATTTATAGAAATTTCAACTATGAGAAAAACTATTCTCTGGTGACAGAAATGAGAACAAGGTTACCTTTGGGGAGGAAGAACTACACAGGGTCACAAGGCACTTTAGCAACAGTGTTCTAGATCAGCCTGGGTGGTAATTACATAGTGGATCCACCTTGTAAAGATTTATTGAGCTATATACTTATGAAATGTGCACTTGCATATGCTACATGTCATTAAACTCTTCATTTAAAGACACAATCAATTTGGGTGTGATGGCAGATGCCTGTAATTCTAGCACTCTGGGAGGCTGAACAGGAAGATTTAAGTTCGAGCCTAACCTGGGCAACTGAACTTAGCAAGAACCTGTCTCAAGATAAAAAAAAAGGGGGGGCTGGGAATGTGGCTCAGTGTGAAGGCCCTGAGTTGAGGCTCCAATACTGCAAAATTACTAATTAAAACAAAACAAACAATCAAAGGAAAACATCACCTAAGTGGCCTAAGATACAAGATGGGTCATTTTCTGTCTGCCTTCTACCCATACATGGAACCAGCCTTATAGGACAACTTAACCAGCACCAAAATGCTGCCTTCAAATGAGAATTCTGCTTGAATTAGCTGAAGCCTCTCGACCTCACCAATTTACAAGGGAAACCAAAGAGGGGCACAGAAACATTCTACAAGGAGATACCCAGCAAAGCCCAGCACCTGTGAAACTACGGGATACACAGTTCAGTTTTATTAACAAATAAATGGTAAAGAAAAGAAAAAAGGGAGCGGCACCTATAGATAACAAGGAAATTTAAGACACATCTCAAACAAATACAATGTGCAGGATTTGTGTGGCTCTTGACTCATACAACCATGACATTTATGGGAACAGCTCCGGAAATCTGAATGCTGATACATTTATTGTCAATTTCAGGTACTATATAAAATTAGTGCTTTTGTTATTTAAAAAAATTCTTACATTTTAGATACATGTTATATCTAGGATTTGATTTTAAAAACCCACTTCAAGAAAAAAAAAAAAAAAACCCACTTCATTATGAGTTTATTGCTAGGACTGGGCATGGTGACCCATGCCTGTAATCCCAGTACTCAGAGGCTGAAGTAGGAGGATCACCGTGAGTCTGAGACCAACCTGGGTTATAAACTGAGTTCAAGGCCAGCCCGAACTGCATAGTGAAACCCTGTCTCAAAAAGGCAAAAAAAAAAAAGAAGAAAAAAAATTGAGTGAATTGCTAAAGCTGCGAGGCGTGGTGGTGCAGGCCTGTAATCCCAGCATTTATGAGTCTCAGGCAGGATTGCTGTGAGGTCAGTGTGTGCCACATAGTGAGTACAAGGCCAGCCTGCACTGCATAGTGAGACCTTCCACTGCCTGAGCTTCCCAATAATCTGGGGCAAACCATAGGTGATGGGATAAAAGAACAATATCAAGGAAATGCAGGATGGGATTTCTGCCTGCAGAGCTGCACAGCTTCCAAGCAGAAGGGCTCAGCCCACTGTTTTGGTCACCAGCAGCGCAACAACCAACTGACAGGTGCTAGCTGCTGCTGGGGTTTCTAGTGCTTTTATCACTTGCTTTGGGGACAGGGCTGGAGGGGCTGTAGAGGGTTCCTCCACGCTGCAGCCCACCAGGCCCCCCCACTTGGAGGGGTGCGGCTGCAGCTGCTCTCAGTGGGGACAAGCAGCCCTGCCCAGAGGCCCCTCACCAACCTGTGCTGGATACGGTTTCGGAAGGCTGGAAGACGGCCGCAGAGGAGGATGGTGGGGAGGCGGTGGAAGAGCTGGCGGACTCCTTCCCCTCTAGCTCAGCCACAGGCAGCAGGAGGTTCTGGGCCAGCTGGGTGGGGCTGGCAGGGATGCCATTCTCCAGCAGAAACTCGTCCAGGTCCATGTACTCCAGGTGGAAAGACTCGCCATCGTAAGGGATGGTCTTGTCCCAGATGGGTGGCATGAGGGAGGCGGAGACAGCCATAGTACTGGCTGCTGCTGCCTCATCCTCCTCCAGCTTTTCCTTCCCCTTTTCCTTATCTGCGAATAAAAGCTGTGATGAGACACTGAAGGACAGGTCACCTCAATCCCGGGAGATGCGCGGGAGCCTCTGGGCAGACCCATCTTTCTCAGAGGCTTAATTCCATCCCAAGCATTTTCAAAGCCCACCCTGTGCTCGTTACAACCTGGAGTTTGAACAAGGCTGGCTGATTTTCTTTAGAGAGGGCATCATGCCCCTGTCTGTGCCTGGCCTTTCTGGAATGCCAGCTGTACCTCCTGAGCGCTTTCTGGTCCCACCGTCAGTGCAGAACAGGGCTTGGGGTTAGCGCCTGCAGGAGAAGCTAGAGAAAGTGCACTTTCTGACTTTTCCTGACAGCTCAGCCTGAAGGGGCTGAGGCTCTCAGGTCAAGAACATTTGTGTTTTCCTAATCTGTTCCTTTAGTTATGCTTCCACCCATGAGGTGTGTGACTGTGACCTTGGCCATGTTATTTAACTTCTCTGAGCCTCAGTGTCTTCCTCTGTAAATAAGGTTAGAGCTGCCTATTCAGTGAAGATTAGCGAGAACATCTGAAAGCCTGTCCGAGTACTTGGGACCCAGTAGGCATTCACCAGTCCTAGGAGCTCATGGAAGGCAGGGACTGAGCCTGATTCGGTTGAGATCTCAGCAGCCAACTAAGAGGTAGGCAGACAGTGGGCTATGGGAAAATGTGCACAGAGACTGGGGAAGATTAGGTTTGCACAGATTCACTTTAGGATTACTGGATTGGGAAGACCTGGAGCTGTCTTTTCAGGACCTCTTTCAGAACAACCTTTTCCAGAGGCCTTTATCCATGAGTAGGCAGAAGAGACTGACTGCAGGTCCTCTGAGAGGAAGAAGGCTGGAGCCGAACAAAAACACTGCTCCTATTCAAATCAAAACTAACCGATTGTGTGTGCCACATCCCACCTGTCTCAGTCAAAAAGTTATGCACATGAAAAAAAAAAGTTATGCACACAGATATCCAAGAGAGGGCAATTAAGAAAAAAAAGACAAGTGAAAAATGTGACAAGACTGGAGGGGAATCAACCTGACAGGGAGGCTAATCAGAGAAGTGGGAGATAAAATCATGACAAGTTCATAATGGGTTTTCAAAATTGAAAAAGACAACTCTGAACTCTAGATTTAGAAGTGAAAAGGAAAACTCAAATATGATTATGTTGGAAATAAACCAGCCATGCATGCACTTCTAGACCACAGCTGGTCAAAAATCAGCCTGCTGGTCCAATAAAAACGGACACACCCAGTGAGTGAAGAAGGTGGAGGTTTTGACAAACAGCAGTTGGCCATGGCTTCTTATGTGAATTAACTTGAATTCCTGCAACTGCCTTCTGTATGAGGCTCTGGTTTAATACCAACTGGGAAGTAAAAAAGCCAAGTCTTGTGGGCTGGACAGGCCAGATGGCCTCCCTGCTGCTCCTGAGACCCTGACCCCACACTCTGTCAGACAGGACCTGACCTCTGCTGGGCAGTGCTGCTCTGGATTGAGGGAAGAGAAGCAAGGTGAAAGAGCAGGCACACCGAAGAAGTGGCAATAGCAGGTTCCAGATCTTGCCTCGCCTAACCAAGTAAGAATATTCTGAACCAGAGCTTCTCTGAAGTGCAGGTTTTTGGGGGTGTGTGTGCTTGTGTGTGGTTATTTCTGAGGTGCTGCAAGGGTGTTGTACCAATGAGCTATGCTCCCTCTAGGGTGGAGTTTTAAATTGATTATAAGGGATAAAGGATGTGTTCATCATTCAGGTCACAGGGGTTGATACAGTGGCTGCTAGTGGGGAAGAACAGCAAACTGCGAGCCCTAAGGCCTCTCCAAGTGACCTTGAGAATGAACCTCCCACCTCTCTCAGCCTCAACTTTCCTCAGAGGAAAGTGAGGATGAGGCCCCACAGGGCTGCTGTGGAAGTCTAAATGAAATAAGGTTATGTCACGGCACCTCACCAGCACTCTGGAAATGTAAGGCGCAGGGACCATCCAGAAGACTGCTGTCTGGTAATCTTAAAGAGTCTACCAGATGTGAACACCTGCCCTGCAGCTTGTCTCAGTCCCAGACTGGGAACCCCGCAAAGGTGTGTGCCCATGGGGTCCTGAAGCAGGAGAGAGCCTGGCTTCACCTGATGTGCCGTAGCTATTTATAACCCAACAGTGCCAGCCACAAGGATGGGAGCCTCAGAACAGGAAAGGAAGGAAATCGGCCTTCTTTAAAAATGAAAATTCCGGCAGACCTATCCCTTCCCAAATTCCCAAATTCCACTGATGGCTGGTGGAAATGCAAAAATCTCAGACTGGAAGAGCATCTCAGTGCGCCCCAAACCCCAAAATAGGTGGCACTCCTCCCGCTGCTGCCTGGACTTCATCTTCAGGTCCAACCGAGGCCCAATTTCTGCTTTCCCCATAGGCCCCAGGGACCCTGGTGGCCGGGGCAGGAAGATGAAAGCTCATCCTTGCCGATGTGGCCCCTAGGGAGTCAGCGGTACCATTGTAACCTTCACCCACTCCTGCCTCCCTCAAGCCCTGTCCCTGAAAGACGCCCCAGCCCTCACCCCACACGCACCCCCATCTGCACCTTAGCAGCAGCAGCAGCAGCCGCCGCCGCCGCCGCCCAGGGACACATTTCTAGAACAGCTCCAGCTTGGACCTACTAGCTGGGAATGCTCATCCCAGGAAGACTCCTCCTCCCCCAGGAGGGGCCAGGGCCATATACAATCCGTTCCCTTACACCAGCGCTTCTCAAACTTTGGTGGACTTTGAAACCACGGGGTTGCAGTGAGGTGCTCCTCGAAATGCGGGCTCCAGTCCCAACATCCGCAGCCTGGGTGGGGCCCAGGAACCGGCATTTTAGACAAGCATTCCAAAGACCAGTGCAGGTGCAGGCGGCCCCAGGGGAGGCGCCCCACGGGTCCAGTAAGGGGCTGGTCCGACCCCTCAGGCTCCTCGGCAGCCTCTACAGCAACTCCTCCTCTTGCTCCACCGCATTCCCTCCCCGCGACCCATCCTCTCCAGCTCGCCCCCTGACCAGCTCTCCCAACCCCCGCCTCGTCCCGCAGGCCCCAGTCCTCCCGGGCCCCCATCCCCCTCTGCCTCACCGCTTCACCCAGACCTCCGACCTCCCGGCCCCGCCCTCGCGAGGCCCCGCCCCTGCAGAAACCCCGCCCCCAGGCAGCGAAGACCCCCCCCCCCCTCACCGAGGCGCGCCTCGCGCGGGGGGTTCTCCATCAGCTTCTTCAGGACCAGAGGGAAGGAGCCTGGCAGGCCCCGTTCCCCAGCTGCGCGCCCCGGCCCCGGCCCCGCCTGCGGCTCCACAGGCGGCTTCTTCCCGCCACCCGCGTCGGACATCGTGTCCCGCGCCCTGCTCGCGCGCCTCGCTTCCCCCGTCCGCCCGCCCCCTGAGATGGGCCGGAGCCGCGCGACCCGCCGCAGCTGCCGACACGGGCGGCTACTGCGCAGGCGCGCCGCCGCACCCCCGCCTCCCCGCATCGCTGCCCCGCCCGCGGACAGGCTCCCGCATATTCATTATTCATGAGGCCAAGCCGGCGGCGCTGGAACGCGGCTTCGGATAGGCTCGGCCTGCGAGAGGGTGGGCGCGACATTGCGAGTCCGGATTGGCCAGGCGGCCAGGGGGGGCGAGACACGTGCGGGGCCAGGTGAGGAGCGCGCGCCCGCCCCGGGCCCGTGATTGGCGCCTACTGAGGTCCATGTTGTAGGCCTTCTGCGCCAGTCCCTTACCCCCTTGCCCTTCGCTACCCTCTTCTTACCTCCCACCCTTCTCCCAGGCCATCAACGCTCTTCGCTTTGCTTCACAGCCCAATCTTGCCATCTTGCCTAAGCACCAGGAGGGAGGCGGGGCTGGGAACAGACGGGCGGGCGGGCCCTGCGGGTCACGTGGAGCCGCAGCCGAGTCGGCCAGCGAGGGGAGGGGGAAGAGGAGGAAGGCGCCAACAGCCAATGGGCGACGGGGGCGGGCCCGGCGTCGGGTGCACGAGGCGCCGCACGTGCGGCTGCTACGGGAGGGGGGGCGAGGGGAGGGCCGGGGCGGGGCCGTCGGTTGCTGGGACCTTGCCCAGGGTCGTGGGACCCGGAACCGAGCCGGGCCCGTGCACCTCCTCCCGCGCGACGCCGAGGTTGGCAGGGGGCTTGGCCGCCGCGGGAGCGGGTGTCAGGTTGCCCACTGATGCCGGGCTCGGCGGCGTGGCTGCGGATAAACACTAGCGTGGAGGAGCGTTCCTGAGGCCCAGCGCCGGGGACGCACTTCCGTCCCGCTTGCTAGCTTGTGACCTTGGGAAGGCCCAGTTGTCCCGCTGGATGGAGCTTGTTTCCTCCGCCATAAAATTAAGAAATCGGGCTGGAGAGACCCAAACAGCCCTGAATGCTCTTCATTTCCAGACCTTTCCCTTCCTCTTTCTAGAGTGGATTTCTAAAGAAATCTCTTTTACACGAAGTACTGATCCTGAACTTTGTGGGAGAACCACCTCCGCTCTTAAAATATAAATACTCCCCAGAGTTCCTCCGGAAACGAGGAAGCTTGAGGAGGGCCCCGATGCAAAGATGGTACAGGAAGCTGCTCGGGACGGCGCTCAGAACTTTGTACTTCTTCGGTACAAATCGTAATGCGCTTCGAACCCAGGCTCCACGAACTGTGCGAGGACTTTGGCTTCTTTACCCTGTGTCCCTCCGATGGCCCTGGGCCATCCAGTCCTTGGTCCCTGGGGATGGTGCCGGGACAGGGCACCCGGCTGCCTGACAGTTAATACAATTTTGCTGGGAGTTGAGGAAAAAGAAGTTGAGAAGCTGAACAGGCCTAGAGAGCAGGAGCTGTGAAAGGGTTTGGGTGATGGCGGAGACGGGACGCTGAGAATCTAACTCCAGAATTCGAATTCTTGCTTCCACACAGGGCTGGTTATTTCTAATCTGATGGCTCCAGCCAGTTACTTCAGTTCAGGCCCTTCCTTTCTTCCTCCTTCCCTCCCTCCCTCCTTTTTTTTTTCCTTTCTTTTTTTCTTCTGTTGT